AACCTCACTTGTGCTGCTTGAAAAACCCAAAGCATAAGGCCTCCAATATGTTACTGATGACAATTGTATCCCCTCCCCCTCAAAAAAAATTCTCCACAAAAGGATGTTTAACTATGCAATATGTTTCCATAGCAATCCTAACATTTCATTTTTACATGAATGCGACAACTTTTGGATCAGTTGTCAGTCCTGGCTTCGGCTCATTGTAAGCGATATCCGTAATTTAAGTGTTTCGTGATACTCTAAGGACTGTTGTATCAAAATAAATTGCACTGAATCAATGCTTTGACTCATTTCTTTACGTAAGAAAAATCAATTTCATGTAACACAGGGGAAACAAACCACATGGAAGATGTTCATAACCTGTGTAGCAAGATGCAATTAAAGATTTGTTTGCACAGAATATAGAGAGAAATGGAAGGGTACAGAAGTACTTGTCAAAGGCAATTTTAACATTTTACACTCCAGAGTACCAGGAAGAGTTTGCAATGCAGAGAAGAGCACTTTCAACAGCTAGGTTGGCCTTTTTTTCTGCTATCCATGGCTGAAGCCATAATCAGATATTAAACAGAAGTAGGTTTCCAAACACGGCATTCAATTACAAGTAGACCTACCATTACAGCCAGTCACTTAGCACTATTTGAAGTTACAACGGACTTCCTTGGGAATAATTACAACCCAGATTCAAAGTTCCGACAGTCGCCGTGACCACCATCCCATGATCATGTGATTGCATTTCGGGTGCTTGGCAACCAGGCGACATTTACGACCATTTACAATGTCCCACGGTTGTTTGACTGTATTTTATGACAGTTTTGCCAGGCATTTACTTTTGATTTTTGGCAAAACAAGCCTGTAATGAACCATTGGTGCACTTAATGTCCATGACTTTTGCTTAATGATAGCTGAAAAAGAAGTCCTAACATCATATCGGTCATGTGGGCGACCCAATTTACAGCCCTCATGCGTTATGATCAGTGGTGGGATTCAGCCAGTTCGCACCACTTCGGGAGAACCAGTTGTTAACTTTCTGAGCAGTTTGGCAAACTGGTTGTTGAAAGAAATCATTAGGACAGAGAACCGGTTGTTAAATTACTTGAATCCCACCACTGGTTATGATCATGATGGGGATGGTCACGCTTGAGGACTACAGCTAGTCCTTGACTTACAACAGTTCACTTGATGACCATTCAACAGCACTCTCCTGAATCCTTTCTCTAACTTTAGAGAAAGTTAAGAGAAAGGATTCAGGAGAAAAGATACAATAAATATAAAAAGAAGAAAAGGAAAAAGAAGAAGATAAGAGATGGAATGAAGGAGAAAATTATTAAGAAGTAGAATTTTGGAGAGACCAAGAGAAAAGGGTTAAAAGGAGAAGAATAGTGAAAAGGAGTAAGGGAAATAAGGTATATATTAGTAGTTCTAAAGGAACTGTATTAACATTAGTATATAATGATGTATATTGTTTATTGTAAAATGGAACAGCAGATGAAATATGAGGTGGTAATTTGGTTCAATTATGAAAATAACTGAAATTAAGAGATAAAATTGAAATGTTAAAAAGTGTGATGGGGATTTTGAAAAAATATGTTATAAATGATGAAACAAAATAATTAATTGATGCTATAATAAGAAATCAGGAATTAAGGGTGGTTAGTTATATTGCTTATTACGTACTTAAAAGAGATTAAGATAAAATGTGGAAGGTCAATTAAGTTAAAGGGTCTGAATGTAAGAATTGCATAAGATGAAGTACATTGTTTAGAGCCAAAAAGTGTGATGGGGATTTTGAGAAATATACTTTATAAATGGAGAAATGAGATAATTAATTGAAGCAATGTTAAAAAATTAGGATTTGAAGGGCGGATGGTGATATTGTTTATATATTATGTATTAAGAAGAGATTAAGATAAGATAAAAAAGTAGGGGAAAAGAATATTATGGCAGAAATTGAAATATGTAAATTGTATTTGGAAAAAATAAAAAAGAAAATTGGAATAGAGTATAAAAATCAATATTTAATTATGTTATAAATTGTATAAGATGTGACCCGATCAATACTCTATTCATAAAATATGTACGTTAAAGAAAAAATTAATAAAACTTGTTTTTTAAAAAAGTTACAGTGGTACTGAAAAAAGTGACTTCTGTCCAGGGAATGACCTGACCAGAGGCATGGAATGCTGTGGGTCCCATCCCCCAGGGAGATACACCTGGTGGGACCCAAAAGAAGGGCCTTCTCCATGGTGGCTCCCTCTCTCTGGAACATCATCCCCCAGAGATTAGAATGGCCCCCACTCTAATACTCTTCCGCAAGGTGCTGAAGATCTGGTTCTGCCAGTGGGCCTGGGGAACTCAGAGAGGGATGGAGCCCATTAAATGGCTCGTGTGATCTGCTGTTGCCAGGGTGGGGGGCGGGGGGTGATTTTATTATATTACATTACATTACATTAATTTATTTGTTTATTTTTATTAGTTTTAAATGTGGTTTTATATTCTGTAAGCCCCCTTGAGTCACCATGGGCGAATAGGTGACAATATAAATTCAATAAATAAAATAAATAAATAAAACATTTTTTTTTCATTTATGACCATTGCAGCATCCCCGCGGTCATGTGATTTACATTTAGATGCTTGACCGATGGTTCATATTTATGACAACTGCAGTGCCCCGGGATCATGTGATCCGTTTTTGGGACCTTCTGACAAGCAAAGTCAACGGGGAAGCCAGATTCACTTAACAACCGTGTTACTAATTTAACAACTGCAGTGACTCACTTAACAAATGCGACAAGAAAAGTTGTAAAATGGCGTAAAACTCATTTAACAAATTTCTCACTTAGCAACATAAATTTTGGGCTCCATTGTGGTCATAAGTCGAGGACTACCTGTATCTGTATTTCATTCTCCAATTCTTCTCTCTAATACCTAGATTTAGAAATATGAGAGTGTCCAGAGAAGAAATAGTAGACTGAAGTTGGTTCTGTGTTTTGTGGATTTTGGCTAAAGAACAAGAAGCTGACAAGTAGAAAGGTTACTTTACCTTTCTCTGGAGAAAGATGGGACAAGAGATTATCCATGTTACACTCCATACAGTTATTCCTCACAAGAAGACTGCAAGGCAGCAACTTCCAGAGGATGGGAGACCCAGGAGATGAGGGAATTTGCTATTGTTGCTTCAGCAAATCAGAGCCTTTACTTGATTCACACAATTTTTGCTAACTACCTTTGGAAATTGCCTAGTAATTGCTTTGGAGAAGTTAGACACCTTCAAAATGGAAACATGAAGGCTTTAACATAAACAAATGAAATAGCAATAGCAATACCACTTAAACATATATATCACTTCATAGTGCTTTACAGCCTTCTCTAAACAGATTACAGAGTCAGCATATTGCCTCCAACAATCTGGGTCCTCATTTTACCAACCTTGGAAGGATGGAAGGCTGAGTCAACCTTCAGTCAATCAGAATCGAACTCGTGGAGTGAACAGTGAATTAGCCTGCAGTACTGCATTCTAACCATTGCGCCACCATGGCTCTTGTTGTATCTTGTTGAAATTGTATCTTTATAAACTTTAAAAATTCAAAATAAACAGCAAAAAGGAAACATTTTGGCTATAAAAAGTTTTGAACACAGTTTACCACAGGTTGGAATTTTGATTTTGAATATTAAGATTTTGAAATTAATTTGAAAGAATAAATTTTCAAGGGAAAGATGGGGGAAAAGACTTATTTGCATATTGTCGACATTGCCAGATAAGCAACTTCAGAGATATTGTTGAGGAATAGCAACAGGACTTAGAATCAACAATTTCAGCAATATTGTGTTTTTATGAACACCCTGTTTTCAGAAGCAGTTACACCAGAAGTTGCTTTTACAGAATAAAAACTTAAATAAAATCCATCTGGAATGATTACAAAGAATAGTATTAACAAGAATTTATTACTGGCTATAGAAAAAAAAATCAGATAAGGCTTTAAAAGCAAGAAGGAAATAAAAATACCAATTCAAGACAGTAATTGGAAAAATTTCCTCTTACTCAAATTATTAAAGACACTTGTTAAAATTCTGAAGAAATTCAAGACAAATATGATCATCTGAATGGAATTAAACAGCAAGATTTAAGGTAAAAAGAAGGAACATAAAATTGACTTATTTTATCAGAGTTAAAATGGGATGTGTTACTTGAGGGGTGGCTTTCTGGATTTGCTGACAACTGTAAAAAATGTGTACTGGATTTGTTTAGAGTTAAGAATTGAGATATGGAATAGTGAAATTTTAATTTGTTAAAGACTGTGATTTTATTAGGGATCTGTTTGGACTTTTTGCTGACCACTGGACATTTGTTTGGACTTTTTGCTGACCTCTGCTAACATCTGAAAAAGATGTTATTTATTGGATTTGCCTGTAATTAAGAGCTGAATTATGACATAATGAGTTTTAAATTTGATAATTAAGAGGAGGTGAAGAGATAGTGAAACTGTTTAGCTTTGTGATGAGATAGAAAGTTGTTTTCTGGGGGGGGGTTCTTTCTTTTTTTTCTTTCTTATACCTTTTATTTCTTTTTCTATTTTTCTTTTTAGAATGTCTTTTTAGTTTTTGTTTGAATTATCTTTTATTTTTGTAGTTAAATATTTTAATGAAAAATACTATTTTAAAATACATGTAGAAATATGAGTGACATGACACTGCTGTTTTTCCAGCCTTGAGCCAAAAGTCAATTAGCGAAGCAAATCTTGTCAAAATCAGGTTGATGACACTATGCATTTCATAGTCACAGGTGTTATAACACAGAAAGGATAACAATACCCATGGCTATTGCTTTCTGTAATATTCCTGTCATTCTCTACAATCTAGTTTTTCTCTTTAATAGCAGAAGAAATTCCAGTAAGATTGAAATAAATAGAGAAAACTCTTTTGAGGCAGGATATTGGGAGAGCAGAACAGAACTTTTATAAATTGTGTCATTTGGAGCTTATTAAAAATGAAAATTCAGAAACTGCTGAATATTTTAATGGCATTTCAGATTGCAACAAGGACAAACACTGAACATCTGAAAAACACAATCACCAAATATCAGTAAACAAATATAAACAAAAAAAACACAGTGGTTCTACATTGAAATACATCATATTTTCCTCAGAGAAGCTGGTTTTCAAAATCTTAAGCATCAAAATAAGATTCTTTAGATTCTGAAAATTACATTTTTTTTATCTTCAAAAAAATAATGTGCACTCTTTAAAGAACATGTATACATAGAGATAAAGACAGACAAACATTGCATTTTGTGACTTGCCCAGTATACAGCCATCTTCTCTAAAATGAGGTCTCCAAATTGAAAATATGCAACAATTACTTCCCCTCCTAATAAAATATATGACATAATTAAAATACCCTCACACAATAGTTGCTAAAAACATTCGAGGTGGCAATCATAAAATGTGAAATGTATGACCATTAACCATGTTTGTCAGTAATGCTTCAGCCCTTGGCAGCTCTTTTACCTCCATTAAAACATTGAGATACTGCAGCAGCTGAGCAATTAGCTTGCTCCTCAAAAACTAGCCATGTTATGGCTTAGGAAAGAACAAGCTTTCTCCACTATGAAAAGTTGGTCCTTTAGCCAATAGCAGCTAGTGATAATCTCATGCACCTCTATTTTATTTTAAAAATCATGTGCCTAGTCCATGCCAATAAAATCCATTCTTACCTTCCCAAACCAACCCCCAAATTAGATAAAATCATGCATTAGCTATGGGCTGTAAGGAGTATGAGTACATATCATTTTTAAAAGGAGTTATCATGTAGAACAGTAGTCCTCAACCTTTCTGGCTTGGTGGACTAGCAGAGGGGGAGAGGGGATGATTCCGTACAACTGGTGGGCACACCGCCACTCACACAAATGGAGCTTCACGCACCAGGCTGGCACCCACTGCTTAGACAAATGAAGCTTCGTGTGCCATATGTAGGTTTTTAGAAAACGAAGTCATTAGGAATATTGATGTGAACTGACCTCCAAATAATAAAAATATGAGGAAGATATCCTTGTTCACCCAACCGTCAATAAATTCTATGTACTATATAACAATTCTGAGACAGGACTACTATTTGTTTGTGTTTCTTCAAATTGGCGATCAGTTGTTTGCTGAATTTCCAATGCCGAATTTCACAAATTTCACGAAGCCAGAGAAATGAGCCATCGTAAACAAATTTGGTGGAGGAATGAAGAAGTGCAAACAGCTGTGAAGGAGAAGAGGCTATTAAAAGCGTGGTTCCAGTCCGACATCGATAAAAATCTCTGACATGACAAGGTGCAAAAATCAGCTGCCAAGAGAGCAGTAGCAACAGCCAAGGCTGCTTATTTCAACTCCATATATGATAAGTTGGACATGCCTGAAGGAGAAAATAAAATCTACCGCTTGGCCAATGCATGTCATCAAACCACTCAGGACATTGGCTAAGTCAAGAACATAGATGAGGACCGTCGACTCTTTCGAGACCCGCCTGCCATCTTCCACCAATGGAGCGATTACTTCTCCAAAATTAGGAATGAGGAATTTGACCACTCTTCAATCCGAAGTGCCAATCTGGTCTCTGCGCCTGTGCTACTAATTACCATCAGGGAAGTCAAAGATGCAATGAAGAGGAAGAATGGGAAGGAAACCAGCCCCGACGACATTCCAGCTGGAGTGTGGAAGATCCTCAACCACCAAGGTGCCACAAATCTTGCTGCCCTCTTTAACCAAATCATCAATGAGCAGCCCCGGGATCTTGGGCAACTAGTACTACAGTACCAATTTGGAAGGGCAAGGGTGATGTGAACAAATGCTCCCGTATCACACCATGAAAATATTTTAATCAAGCTGGTTATCGATGCCAAGCTCTGCATTCTCCATTACTCCAAACCAACGTGGCTTTGTGAAAGAGAGTGGAACAATGGATGCCATTCTCACTGCTTGGTTGCTTTTGGAGAAGCACCATGAGAACACCAAGCCCATTCACATGGCATTCCTTGACCTGGAAAAGGCCTTTGATCTCATCCCACATGAACTCATTTGGCATATCCTACAATCCCAAAATGCCCCTGAAGCCTATGTCCAGTGGATTCAACTCCACCACCGTAGCATCACTAGCATGGTCCATTGTCGCAGTGGAAATATCGCCTCCCTTGGCCATCAATATCGGAGCGCATCAAGGATCGGTGCTTTTGTCCCTAGTATTCATTCTTTGCATAAACACTCCAATTGTCCCATCCATGTTTGCTCTTCTATACCAATGATGTCTTCTTGGAGAATGAAAGTGAAGACTTTGAAGAACAAACGCAGCAATGAAATGAAAAGCTCAGCAAATTTGGATTTCAATTGGACATCAAAAAAATGGAATATATAGAATGTGGCCCCAAACTGATGGAACCATCAACATTGGTGGTGAAGACCTGAAGGAAGTAGAGCTATTCCTTGCTCCCTCATATGCAGCGATAGCAATAGCTTTCTGGATACCTGCACCCATGTCAATGCCGGCTGGAGGAAGTGGTGCCTTTTATCTATTGATAAAAGGTGATGATTGTGACGATGATGATTGGGACTAGGATACCATGTGCTCAGCCTGTCAATCAAAACTTTCTGCACCAATCAGAAGTACTTCCGGAGATGAGACAATAGCATCATAGTCAACAACTATCAATCAACAACCCACCCACCCCGTCCTCAATCGATACAGACAAGCATTTCTGGAGCAGGCAATAAGATGTTACAGCATTTCTGGAGGGAATGCAGATGTGACATCACTGAGTGGGCAGGATTATAACTCTATTAAAAAATGGTATGTACTCATACTATAGCACTCTGTGACGTCATGCTGACCACATGACTGTGGAAATGTCTTCAGACAGCGCTGGCTCAATGGCCTTGAAACAGAGATGAGCTCCACCTCCTATAGTCAGGAACAGATAGCAGAGTAAAATCCGCAGGGACTCCTTTCCTTTTTAAAAATGTTTAAAAAGCTTTACTGCTTTACTCATACTATTGCAATAAAATGAAACCAGATTTCCCTAATGGCCTTTCACAAGGCCAAACAACTAAGGGAACTTGCTCTCAAAGTATATATGAGTTCAAGAAGCCATTGTCAACATAACCCCATATGTATGTTTTGTTGTGGTGGTTTGTTCTAACATCAGTGCAAAAGCCAAAAACAGTCAAGAGGGCAAAATGATATGGTTGTTTCTCTCACTGCAGGTTTCCACTCCAGACACTCCATCTGGCAAGACTGAGATTGCATTGCAAACACTGTAAAATAGTACTATTACTACTACTAACAAAATGCACAACAAAGCTATTCATAGCTCATATAAGTCTTGCTCTTGTAGATCATTATTTGCTTAACAATCTACATTTGATAATCATCATAAACCTCAATTATTAGCCCCTTACCTGCAACGTTAAAATTCTATACATTTCATAATTAAACCCTCTTCTGAGATAGCCATAACCACACAGATATTCTATGATTTTATATCTCCACTTGTCTCTAGGATTTCAATTACCTCTTAAATGGTGTCCTTGACTCTCATCCTATTTGTTCTCTAGGTAGATCTGCCTCTAAAATTCATACTTTGCAGAATTACTGGAAGACAATGTTGGCCAAAGAAAAATGCGGTAATTGAAGCAATAATAACTCACGATGCTCTACTGCAGGACTTGAAATTGAGAGCCACATCTAGATTAATATAGCATGTCAAAGCCAACTTTTTAAAAATGGGTGGGGCCTGCAGCTTGAATGGGAGGTAGTCACAAAGCTTAAAAATATGGAGTAAGTGTTTTCAAAATCTGCAAGGATTAAGATACCATTTTCTGTTTCAAACACCATCAGATGGGCACAATTTTTTTACCATTTACTTAAAAAAGAGCTCTGTTGGGCCACAAAGCAGATCTTGGCAAGCTATATGAATTCCCCCACCCCAAACTATACTTTCTACATCTCTGATTTATGGAAATTAATTTAAAACTCTTTGTTAAGCAATTTGCATGCCACTTTGGAGACAATAATGGACAGTAAAGATAATTTTCTGTGTTCATCTGTGAAATAACTTCAAGTACAACTTTCAGATTTTTCTTCCAATGGGTGGCTACCAAATGCTCTTGCCAATATGAATTAAATATGGAAAGCTGGCAGCACAACGTAAGTAGGATAATGCCCACTCAGCATGTATGTGCTGGTATGAAATTTAAGGAAGGATTAGAGAATTGTGTTGAACAGGGACTATATTTTTCTTAAGCTGATTTTTTCAGCATGGTAAAGTTTTATTAAACTCGTTCCAATTTTAGTTTAAAATTTAGTTTAAAATTTGGTAATCTTTGGTAATTTAGTTTAAAATTTGCAATGCAAGCAACCTATCCCATAAAATTTTTCTTTCCAAGAATGGTCATTAAGTGAGAGAGGGAAGGGAGAGAAGCAACGCCCCTTCTATGGCAGAATGCTTGGACATGACCTTGTGCTGTCCTTGGCTCAAAGAGAATTATGTCAATTTACATTAAAACATCGGTGTATTTTTAAAAAAATAAAAACAAGTTAAAATAACAAGATTTACTCACCAGCTTTAAAATATTCACAAAAACCTAGTAAGAAAAATCCTTCTTAGATACAAGTCTCACATTCTCCAGGAAATGTAACTGGACATTTGGGGTTTATATCTAAACTAAAGTGCTTTAAGAACTTATTCAGATTTGCATGATTGTAAAATATTGTCATTTGCCTTATGTGAGAATCTGACACAGAGAGTGGTTCCTCAGACCAGGAGTGTAATAATTTAAATAGGTCTTGAGACGTATAGGAGTATTCATTCCCAATATGGCAATCCAACATTTTATATGTGATATATAAAGATATTTATAGTTTTCTTTCCTGACCCTTGTTTTTAATTCAGTAACTAAGCTATACTAGGAGCTGAAATTAATACTATATTTGAGTCTTCAGAACACACTGTATATAGATGCAAGAAAAGCTCAGCTACACATTGTAGCAAACTGCTCCCTCCTTCATCTTAAAGAGTAACTTTATATCCTCTTTTATCCACAGGGCAAATGTGTAATGTGATGGGGGAAAGGTGAACTATATATTTTTCATGAGAAGTACATAGAATCATATTTAAGCTGAACTTAATGCCCTAACGTTCAACTAGAATGAGTAAACTGCAAACATATATGCTCCATAGGAAAGCTAAGTGTCCTTCTAGACACCAGTGGATATCAAGATAAAAAAAGTTCATACACAAGAACCTAATTCAATGTTTCTTAACCTTGGCTATTTTAAAATGTGTGGATTTCAATTCCCAGAATTCCCCAGCTAGCTATGCTGGCTGGGGAATTCTGAGAGTTGAAATTCACACACTTTTAATGTTGCCGCAGTTCAGAAACATTGGCCTAACTTCTTTGAAAAGATCACATTTTTTTTCCTGTACATTTCATGCAACTGTGCACAATGCAGTAACAATATTTGCAATTCCACCCACCGCCCTTTTCAAAGTGCGCCTTTTATGCTGACTGCAGCTTACAGGAAAGTCTGCACAAAGTCTGTGGCAATAAAACTGGGGAAACATGAGGAGAACTTCTCATTTTTCCTGAAGCAAAGCAGGGATGTTGATGTTCCATCCAATAGCCTGGCGATCAAATCCACAAGTGAAGAGGTTGCATATTGGATGATCTTCACTCCATGCTGAGCAGCAAACCATTCTTCTATGACCCTGGGAGAACAAAGAGAACAGTATTAGAACAGTATTTGCTTGGCTCTTTTTTCTCCCTCTCTTCTTAGGCCATACAGATAGTTCTTTAGCAACAATTTGAAGCGCTGAAAAAAGTGACCTGGCAACTGGTCACAGTCACATAATAACAAAATTTGAACACTTGGCAACTGGCATGTATTTTCAAGGGCTCCAGGATCATGGAGTCTCGGTTTGGAAATCTGAGTAGAAGTAGTCCCTCAGAAATATTGAAAACATAGATGTTCAGTTTTTTTAAAAAAATATATAGCATTAAAACAAAGAAAAATAGAAAACACATATGGATTCAGTAAAAGTTAAGCTCTTTGAATATTTTTTTAAGTTCCAGTTACCGTATTTTTTGAACTATATGACGCTCTGGACTATAAGACACACCTAGCTTTTGGGGAGGAAAACAAGAAAAAAAAATCTGCCTCTGCCTCCCAGCAATTTGCCTCCTTGCAGCAAACAGCCAATCAGCTTCAGCACATCCTGATTTAGCACAAGCAGCTGATTGGCAGTTGGATTTGCCTCTCAAAATACCATCTATTAGCTGTCCCGGCTACGGGGATTGCCACCATCACCGCCTATCACTGTTGCTGCCTATCGCCGCCTCTGTGTGCCCCATTTTCAGCTTCCGTGTGTCCCATTTTCAGCCTCCACACGTCCCATTTTCGGCCACCACACGTCTCATTTTCAGCCCATTCCAAGTGATGGGGATAGGTGGCAGTGGCAATCCCTGCCACCTGGAACGGGCCAAAAATGGGGCATGCAGAGGCCGAAAATGGGACACACAGAGGCCGAAAATGGAACAAACGGAGGCGATGATAGGTAGCAGCAGCAATGGGTGGTGATGGCGGTGATGGGTGGTGATGATCCCTGCAGCCTGGAACAGCTGATAGGCAGTATTCCGGGAGGCAAATCCAACCGCCAATTAACTGCTTGTGCTAAATCAGGCTGTGCTGAAGCTGACCAGGTTGTTTGCTGCAAGGAGGCAAATTGCTGGGAGGCAGGGGGCAGCGGGTGGGGGCCGGCGGGTGGGCAGGCTTCAGCAACATTCGCTGTATAAGACGCACAGACATTTCCGCCCACTTTGGCAGGGGGGGATTGCATTTTATACACCAAAAAATACGGTATTTGCTAAGCAAATCAAGCCAATACAGGTAGTCCTCAACTTACAACAGTTCATGTAATGACCATTCGAAGTTACAATGGCATTGAAAAAAATGACTTGTGACCATTTTTCACCCTTATAACCATTGCAGTATCCCCATGATCATGTGATCAAAATTCAGAAACTTAACAGCTGACTCATATTTATGACGTTTGAAGTCTCTCAGGGTCAAATGATCAACCTTCTGACAAGCAAGTTTTTGCAACCTTCTGACAAGCAAAGTCAATGGGGAAGCCAGATTCACTTAACAACCATGTCACTATTTTAACAACTGCAGTGATTCACTGAACCACTATGGCAAGAAAGGTCATAAAATGGAGCAAAATTCATTTAACAACTATCTTGCTTAGCAACAGAAATTTTGGGTTCAATGGTGGTTGTAAATTGAGGATTACCTGTATGTTGAAATAAACTTTGAAGATCTTGTTTAAAAATTGGTTTCGGGTGAACTCTATGCATACAGAATGTCCACAGCATAATTAAAAATGTACAGCATCCTTCCTCAACTTAGTGTATTATAACCCCAGTTCTCAAAATGAACACTGTAGGTCAGATTTAATACAGTGCTTTTTAGATGTAAAAGCACATAAAATAGTGATACATTCAAAAACCTATATATCGAATTAGATAATTTTTTTTTACAAACCACAAGTTAAAGCCTTGAAAATATCCTTTTGTGAGATAGTTTGGCTATTACAATGACCACTCAATTGATCACTTTAGTCCAAATTATACAATGGCAAGCAATATAAACAACTGAAATGTTAGACTAAGACTAAGGAGAACCAGGTTCTCAAATTCTCTAGGAGACTTTGGACCAATCATCACCCTTCAGTCCAATCTTTCTCACAGGGTTGTGGTGAGAATAAAAATATAGGTGACCTCATATAAACCACTTGAGTTTCAGCACAAAGTTGAATATAAACATAAGAAAATAAACCAAACATCATATAAACAACCTCATACATTTGCAAGCCTAACAAAAACAGAATCAAAGCCTATTTTTATTTTTAAAAAATGGCACAAAGTAGGGTTTTTTACAATTCACAAAGCATTTCAAGTAGTTACTGCCTTATTTAAGATCTCAGTCCATTAAAAATAGGAACTGGGGAAAAAAGTAACAGGACAATGCCAGTCTCTATTGCACCTAAGAAACTTATTAAATAAAAACACCTTCACCTGGCTCTGGAAGAAATCAGATTTACTTTCAACTGCATCTCTGTAATGAGATAGTTCCAACCTGTTCTATCACCAGGAGCATCATTGTGATGATGATGGCAGAGGAAACATACCAAAAAGCTTCACTAAAGAGGACTCAGGTAGCTAGTCTACTACTTGTCATCTAGGACAAGGGATTTGTCATATAGTGATCCTTATGGTATGGCTGGCTGAGGAATTCTGGGAAATGAAGTCTATGCCTCTTACATTTGCTAAGTTTGAGAAACATTGTTTTAGAGCTTATAATATGAACGAGCAATCTCTGAATCCTATTTCCTTAATCTAAGATCTCTCACTGACTAATACTACTGCATAGCCATAGCACAATTTCCAGCCCTTTTGAGGTAAGGAATAGCCAACAGGCTGAAACTTAAGTCCATTGTGTCCATACTTTATCAAGTCAATAAAAGTTAAAAAAAAACCTTTACAAGCTTTCAAGGAGAAAACCAAAAATATCGACCTTGTCCACATACATGACACAGTCTTGTCCAGTTTGCATCACTGTTCACTGCAACCTTTAGGCTCCTAAAAATATTAACTGGCCACCAAGAGGCTCCCCACCATTGCTTTAAAAGGTAAGACCATTTAGAATTAAGTCCAAACTGAGTCTCAACCCAATGATTTTTAGTTTGCAAGATACCAATTAATATATGCTATAGGTAGTCCTTAACATATAACCAGTTGTCTAAAACCCATTTTAAAAGATGATGCCCCCCTCCTCCAAGAACTACTTATGATCCATTTTTGAAGTTACAACTGCCACATGCACAATTGGGCTGTCACATGATCACATTTTGGGCACCTAGCAACCGGATCATCTTTACAACTATTTGCAGCGTCCTGCAGTTAAGTGATCAAAGAAGCTGTAATTCTTTTTGTGTGTTCCCAATGTTTACTTCCAGTTTCTGGCAAAATCGCCCACTGGGGAAAATAGATTCACTTAAATGCAGTGCTTGCTTAATGACTGTAGCATTCACTTAATGACCATTGTAAAAAATGTTGCAACTGATGCCTCAACTTATGACGGCAATAACTTCAACAATAATTCTGGGCTCAATTAGGGTTGTAAGTCAAGGGTTGTATCTATCTGTAAGAGTATAAGTGTTTTTAGTTTAATGGCAACTGGGTGATTTACTGCAACAACATGCTATGTTTCAACTAAATAATATATATTTGGTAACATGCAGAAAAACAACTTAAGGAGAGAATGAGAGAGATGTTAAAAAAATAGCTAAAGTTCTGCTACCTGTCTGTTGCTGCGAGGAAGACGTGCTAATCGCACTCCAGACATGTCAAATAATCTAACCTGTCGGTTGTCATGAGGAAGGGCAATGATTTTTTGGCCGACACAAACATTAATCCTGTGCAGAGGAGATTAAAAAAAAATAAATTAGACAGCCTGCCAGGAATTGACAGTAGTTCAAGGCCACTGAAAGTGATTTAATTGGAATTTCATGCTACACGCAGTTCCCACATATATAATTTTATTTTCTACAAAAAAATTGGTTGTTTCTGGTGCTGATGGTATCATAGACATTCACAAAGACATCACTAGATGCTCCCCCATAGTCTTTTGTTAAAGACAAAAAAATAAAAAAAGTAAAAACCCCTCTGAAGCTTATACTTACACAGACAAGGTCCATTCTGATTCCCTCAGGAAAGAAAACCCTCTTGAGTTAGTACTTAATGGAATGAGCACTAGGGGTCTCTACCATGAATAGAAAAGTTGCATCAATTCATCTGAAGTACTTTAGATGTGTACACCAGGGTTTATCAACCTCGGCAACTTTAAGATGACTGGATTTCAACTTCCAGAATCCATCCATCTTAAAGTTGGCAAGATTGAGAAAACACTAGTGTAAATACCTTGTTTCTCAGAAAATAAGACCGAGTCTTACTTTCTTTTAGACTTGAAAATAAGCACTTGGGCTTTTTTTTTTTTAGGTGCAGCAGGCCAGACTAGGTGATCTGGACGCGCCATTGACACACTGTTGCCTCCATTCCAAACTTTCAGTGTTCAGAATGGAAGCTTTTTGGCTCACGGGAGGAAAATGGGGAGGGGAATTTTCCTGCCTGTCATCCATTCCTAAAGCTCAGCACAGACTGAGGGAAGGCTGGCAGGCAGGAAAATCCCCCTCCCCATTTTCCTCCCACAAGCCAAAAAGCCTCCTGCGAGCCTCCCCAAAAGAGAGAAAAAGTAAAGCAGCTGCCCATGGACCTGCTGCCTTCAGGGAAGCGGCCCAACAAGCAGAAGTGTTGCACCCAGAAACAGAGAGGCAAAAGCAGTATTTGCACTGCCCCAAGGGGCCAGTGGACTGCAGCTGCAGCCAGGCAGTTCCCCCCCCCATGCCCGCGCCGCCACTCATGCTGGCCACGCCCATTCCTCCAGGCTTATTTTCAGGGTAGGGGCAATATTAGGCCCATCCCTAAAAAATTAGAGTTGGGCTTATTATAGGGGTGGGTCGTGTTTTCAGAGAAACACAGTAATCCTTTGCATTTAAATTCTTCAAATCAACCAAATATGAGGGATCCTAAGGCAATGAACATGCAGATCACAAACATCCCACCCCAAATACTAAAAAAAAAAAAAAAAAAGTAATCAATTTGCATTAATTTAAGAGTCTGGTCTGCTTTTACTGCAAAAATGGTTCAAAAGACTATAAAGCCTTTTGCCTTAATGGACAAAGCTTCGTTGCCATGTTTTTTTTCAGATTGTTTTGAAGAAAGATGGGATATCAATCCAAAAACAGCCTTTCAAACCGGAAATACATATTACCTTCCCTTCACAATTATACAGTATTCGTACTCTTCATCATTCATAATTCTCTTATACAGAAGAGGCTAGAACAGCAACCATAGTTACAAAATACCACAACTGATTAGACAAAGTCAATACTTAGCTGCCACACTAGAATGCTATTTTTTAAACAAAGACACGGCACCTCAACAATGCATTTCAGGAAGGAATTAAGAAAAATGGACATTTCAAACCAGTAGCTGTTTTCTACTATTTTCTACTAAACCTTAAATTATGCTGTGATCTGAGCATCACTTTTTGTTAAACAAATGCCTTCCAGATTAAATGAAGTATAGCTTACCTGTTTACTGCAGAGTCTGTGCGAATAGTGGCAATGGGTGATCTCATATTTTTCAAGTCCCAAACTTTCACAGTACGATCATCGCTACCTGAAACCACATTGTCTCCCACAGTGAAAACAGCTGAAGTCACAGTGCTTGAAAGGAAGAAGTTAGAACCACAGTTAACCATGTTACTGATAATTCAATGACAATTTTAAGTACCTACAGTACCATCCTCACTATTTTAAGAAACCACAAGGAAGATTATCAACATGGAAGCACAACAGCTAGCTGCTGGACTCTGGCTTCAATTATGAACCCTTAACAGGCACATAGTTTAATACTTTTAACATAATAAAGACATGCCAAAGTAATAGCTTCTTTCATACAAAAGAAAGGATATCATTTTGTAACTGCATGCCAAATCACATACACATATTATGTATAGTCTTTCCTATACAGAAAGGCTACAAGACATTCAATTTTTATTGTGATATTGATCTATTTAAAATTAAAACATGAAAGAAAATATATGCCACATTTGAATTACAGGGAATAAAAAATGTTTAATTTCAGTAACCAGAAATGTATTAACCGTTGCATCTGAAAAGATAATAACTGGGGTTTTAAGTTATTTCTTTCATCTTTTTGCCCTAATGGGCAAAGCTTGATTGCCATGATTTTCCAGGCTGTTTTGAACAAACATGGGAAACGTCCATTCATCAAGTTATTTCTTTCACTGCAAAGCATCTTGCTTGCTCCCACCTACACAGCCTGCTAACAAAGCACTTTGGTTTCCTTCCCTGGTTCATTACAGTCTGCTTCTCAGCTCAATTTCTATGGATCGCATTTAATGACCTATCCTGTTATAGCTTGGGGGTCACACACATCAATTGCTTGGAATTTAGTAATTTTAATTTAAAGTGTCAAGTTGCTACTGTCACTTCTATTGTACTGTGAGAATCTGACTTCATGTTGTATTCAGCCTACTGATTGAGATTAGTATTACCCAAGTCACAATGGGCTAGTATGTGCAAGGCCTCTTAATTTAAATTGACATCAAATTAAAGTCTAATTAGATCCAAATACCATTGTGTCAGTGGTAAGAAGTTTTAAAATGCTGCATCAGAGTGCCACTGAGCTGGTCAGAGTAATTATGTGGCATGAACTAGAGGCCTTCAGAGCCCAATTATATAAGCCTTTGTGTCTGAACTGGTGTGGGGGCATAAGCAATTACAAATGGCCCCTGGTACCAAGGAAGATCTCCAAAATTACCATACATTCAGAGCAAGAATACTGAATCTCCCAAAATATATGCATTAGGCACTGATATATTCATCCTAGCAGAGGGTGCCGCTCTTTGGCAAGACGACAATTGATTTGATTCCTTCATCATGCATTACAATTATCCATCTAGTTAAGTTCTTAAAAGCTTGTTACTTTCAAGCAACCATTCAAATGTATTTTGAACTTCTGCCTTAAAATGCGAATGAATTTATTCTTTCCACTTCTCTGCATTTACATCCTAGTCTACACCCCAGTTGCAGTGTTAGTTGCATTAAAAGATATATACAGGAAATCAACTTTTTACAAAACTGAGCTGCTCTAAGTGTTCACTGGAGCACAAAAATATCAATAAAAGAGAATACTTGCAGCTCAGAGTTGAACTGCAAGGAGCCCCAAGGGGTCCTGGGGTTCTCCAAACATAGTTGCTTTCTTGCAGACATTTTATTACCCAATAACAGTAAACAATACCTCAATCAAGGAACTACCAACTCAGAGAACCAATCAAACAGCCTAATCAAGGAACCAGCAAGAACACTTCACCAACAATGACAGGACAGGCCATTTGTAATATAAAAAGCACTGCATCATCAACCACAGATGAGGTTATGTATTGGGTAATGAAATGTCGGCAAGAAAACAACCAAGCTCTGAAAACACCACGAGCCCCCCCCCCCCGAACAGAAGATCCAACACAGCGTATTGAAAATACCTTCACTGCCCTGTTTATATTTATATTTATATATATATATATATATATATATATAATATATATATATATATATATATATATATAACTTGCTTAACATTACAGATTACAATCTTAATCTCCACCCCTTTTTTTTCCAACCACTTGTAAAATAAATTCTATGTTTGATAATATTCTGTGTCTTCTTTTGTTTTATTTTCAATGTAAGTCTATCTATTTCTGCACAATCTATATCTTCCTAATTATCTCTTTGTCTTGCAGTGTTTCTTCATTTTTCCAATATTGTGCACAATATGAGAACAGCCCTATTTTATGGGCTTTAACTGGCTGAGGTAACCTCCAAACAGATTTCCTAACTCTGCTTTGAAAGATGCTGAAGACTTCTGGTGTTGGGGATTGACCAGAGATTGTACACAGATGTATCTTCGCTGTAAGTGACTATCTCACTTCCACCGCTTACTGGGGATTCTTAAAATGTTTGGACAGCAATACTTGTGCACAATAACTGTACAGCAATATTTGTGCATAACTCATAGTTATGGTTTTTCAACCATAACTCGTGGTTGAAAAACCACCTAGTTTTACAAAATTAAACCCAACCACTTCTTTGTTCTTTTAAATCTTCTCTTCCGATCTGTGGCTGCAATTCTCTAACTGCTCTTCCCCTCAACCCCAATGTGGTCCTTTTTGTACTGGGTAAATATGCAAATCTCTCCTAGACTTCGCAAAAAAAAAAAGTTTTATGTTGATGTCACAATGCAATGATTATAGCAATAAAATATTGTGTTCCTTTTTGGAAAGGTTGCCTTAGCTATTTATATGGCTGACCATTTCAAAGTAATGACATTAAGTTTCTATACATTATATCACACATAACAGCTTTTACATTCCATTTAAATTTTCCATATATTCTTATGGAAGTCATTTTGCTCTTTATAAAACAAATAAAATCCTGTCAATAATGACTTCCCATTTTGTTTTTTAAGATGGTGGATGTTATCGGAAATCTCTCAAGGAGGGCAAAAGAATAAACCTTATCCAATCCTTTTTTCTCAAGCAAGATTATCCAGATATTTCCAATGGTAAGCAATCAGAGCCTTTGCTGCTAAAAACAGGAAAATAATATGGTTCTTGTTTTGAAACCTTTCATACCTTCTATTAAGCACAAATAATATGAATAAATTTGGTGTGAATTCAACTATTTGTGTGGTTATTGCTCTCATTTTATTAAAGGAAGTTACCGTTCTATTCCACAAAATGTGAATTTCATCTCATGCTGTTTTTAACATAGAATGAAATTGTTCTTCAAGCTTTGGAATGAAATGTATGGGTATTTAATGGCATTTCAAGGCTACTCCAAACACCAAAGGACTCCGGGTAGCTGACAAACAATAATGCAGCTAAAATAAGCAACTAATCCAAGAAAATTTTTATTAAAAAAACCCAAAATATTAATATGTGTATTACATTTGGCTCATATCTGGGGATCCAAGAGAGGCAGTAAACTTTACAAATTAGGAACACGTCAGGAGAAATAAACTGAAATTCAAGCCGAGACAATTTGAAGGTGGCCCTCAATTTACCAATTTCCTCAGATACTAAAGGATACCTTATGATTATCAACTATGGCCTTCCCCAGAGATGCAGTCTAAGTTATCTCTAGTTAATTTAGCAATTATCTGGTTTAGGAAGCATATTTGGAAACATTAAATGAACAAAATATGGATTTTCCTTTAGTCTTGTACAGCAGGTGCACAATCAGCCAGTTAATATTTTGGCTGTGTTTAAAATTCTAAGTTCAGCCTTTGAAGCCCTAAATGAGTTGAGTCCAAGCCTTAAAAAACAGAGTTCGGAAGGATAATGTAAATTTAAAAAATGCATATTGAAAATGGAAATTTGGACATATGACCAAATGGCAGAAATGGCAAATAGAAATATCAAAATTTTAGCAAAATTAAGAAATACTAAAATAGGAAGCAATAATCGAACTACTTCAATATTTCTTGATAGAAAATGCAAACAGTGGCAAAAGAAAAACTGACATGGGGCAGATGACAGAGAGGCTGTGCAAGGGAAAATTAACTACTAAGCCCTCCAACTGAGATCAATACAAAGCATTAAACCAACCGAAACTGCAATTAGATAGCATTTAATTTAACAGCATGTGGCACTGAATAGCCTTTATTTTTTATTATATACATACACACACACTCCCACACAGAGGCTATTCATTTTCCATCATGAACAATCCACCATTGAGAATTACAGACTGTAATCTACATGAGGTCCAGTGAGGCTGGTAGACCATTTTTCCTCCGTTGAGAGAGGAAAAAGCCCAAAGTCATCTAACTGACCTCATACCCAAGTGAGAACTAGGACTAGGGTCTCTCACCCCTACTCCAGCACCTTAACTACTATTTTACACTGGATGTAATCAACAGTTATAGTTATAGACCCAGGCCCTGATAAAAAATATAGATAGATTTTTTTTTTTAAAAAAAATAGAAAAATAAAAATTCATTCATACAAGACAAAGCTCTGAAAAATACTGGCAGAATATAGAGCAGCCATGAATTATATTTTTCAGAGAGTGGTGGTCTTTCTGAAGGGCTGAATCCAAGATAGTTTATAGATAAAACATGCTAGAAGAAAGAAAGAACAGGAATCTGCAAGAGGACCATCCACCATGATAACAAAGCAGGAGATTTATTTATTTATTTATTTTATTTATTTTATTGAATTTCTATACCGCCCTACTCCTGAAGGACTCAGGGCGATGCACAGCCATGAAATAAAACACATAGATATACAAAATTTAAAATCGAATAAAATGAATTAAATAAATTTGGCTGAATTAATACCCATAATTTAAAATACCCATAATTTTAAAATACATTAAAAATTACAATTTACACTTAAAAGGGAGAAGATTTAGGCGAGGCCAGCTTGATGAAATAAAAGCGTCTTCAACTCGCGGCGGAAGGTGCGCAGATCCGGAATCCTCCGTATCTCTGGGGGGAGCTCATTCCAGATCGTCGGTGCCCCCACAGAGAAGGCTCTCCCCCTGGGGGCCGACAGCCGACATTGTTTGGCCAACGGCACCTGGAGGAGCCCCTCTCTGTGGGAGCGTACTGGTCGGTGGGAGGCTGTTGATGGTAGTAG